GATCTTGCCTATGCTCGAAATCTTTAGAAGTTAACCAGGATTGTACCGGACAGAAGTGCTTGACAGATTGTAAAGTGAGTCCCAATCAATGTTGCCGACCCGGCTCTTTGAAACGTCAGCATTTAAATAAACCTGTTCCGCAGAGCCTATCTTCTTTTTTAATTATTCCTTTGCTGTTATTTACGGTTTTGATTACGCATTACGAAAACCATCCAAAGCGAGGCTGTGAGAAACTGCAAAATATTTTTGCTAGCTAAAAATTATAGAAACATTGCGTTGGCGTTGATGGAGACGTGGCGAGTTTTGGCTCTCCAGCCCCACTTGATTTATGCCATGTCGTTAGCTTTCTAAAACAATATTAATTAACATACCTAACTTTGCCATTCGCGGACGGGAAAAAGATAAAATAACATATTATATTTCGACAATGTGGCAAAGGGATAGATAGCGAAACCTAAAATGGAACCATCCGCTATACTCACCGATTACTGTAAGACCAGCTGGATGAAGGATCAAATTGAACAACTGTTTATTCAGGCTAAGTTTAAGTCCTTTATAAACGACTTTAGAATGAATCCTCATGTTCAGTCAACTCTGTCCTTAAAAAGAGAAGAATATAAGGAGTTTATTTTACCACTGTTTGGTTATCTTCTGTCTACTTGAAATAAACGCCCCCTGCTTTGGTTGTCCGTTGATATGAAGTTCAATTAGATATCGAAATAACTACACTTGCGTCGAACTTGCATCGATTTGTCAGCTACTGTTGGTAATATTAATCAGATGCATGTTGGGATTCGCTGGCGAATAGCGCAACGGAACATGTCCATGTTTCACGTGCGCTCACTGGCGATCGCGTTGCAACGATGAATACAACGGGGCTAAATGCCGATAGAGGGGACTTCCGCCAACATGACTTCACGGTAATTCTAGAAACCCGTAGACACATGCAAATGGCCTCCGGTTATTTATCATTGCATTAAAACGGGTGTTAGCTCAATAGCATTGCTGACAAAGACAAGGGAGACTGAAATGACTACTTCTGACTTGCCAGCTCTCGTCAGTCAATCACACCAAACCCATAATTTGTGAACACTTGGTCTCGATCCCGCGACCTGTCGGTTAGAAGTCCAACGTACCTAACCACTGAGATACGGATTTCTAACCAATAGGTCACGGAATCGATCCCCAGCATTCCACATTTTGGGATTGGGTGTACTTGCCTGACGTCAGCTGATAAGTCAGAAATAATCATTTCAGTCTTCCTTGTCTTTGTCGTTAATACCAATCTGCCCATATCACGAGTCATTGTGTGGCTTCTGTCGGAGACCAAGTAGGAGACGCAAAGCACAACGGAACGAGTGAGTTCCGTAAGAACGATCGTTGAGCGTTATTCTAACAAAAACAACTATCCTTCAACGCAGCAGGTACGCTCATCGACCCGGATTCAGAAGGGAATATGCTTGATGAACTCCCATTGCCAAATCAGTTAATATTGCCGATAGCGATTGAAAGGGTGACAAGTCTATATATCTATGTTGTGTCGTTAAATGCGATGTTCAGTGGCCGGACTACTAGTTCGATTATTGGATATGACTGACTTGGGGGAACTAACTAGCCGGAACCCTCTATTTCTGACTCTCTCGTCTGTCTTGCTACCTCATATAATAGTATTCAATAGTTTTTGTTATATTAGACGCCTGTCAACAGGCATCATCCATGTAAATATGCATCGTAATCAAATAATTCGTGAAAAACCCCTTTATGTGGCATTTCTGATGAAACTGGATAGCAGGAATTTACTATATTATTTTGATACGTGGAAAAGAACACAGCTACACCCCGGAAATGAAGGCAGCGAAGAACTAGAAGAGTTGTTTCCTTTTCAGATGTGATTCGCACGGTTAAGTCGCAGTAACGTGAAGCATTTCAGCTTTGATCTGTTAGCTGCCGTATAATAAAACAGATTATTTTCCAGAATTAAAGGGGTACAAATAAATTAGTCAGCTGCAGACCGGACCATTGATTACCTGATTTAACATCAGGCTGTCAGATCTGAATTAGATTCTTTTCTTGATGGTCCACCTACTCACACTTTTACGCATTGCGTCGTGAAAGGCAAACTTGCCCTCTAAAATACATCTTCCACATTTCGATGTATGTGCGTACCCCTATTTGCCGCACTGGCAGCTTATAGCTTCATGCCTGCTGCCTCCAATTTGACAGTCGGGTCACCATAGGCGGTTGGGCAGTTTCATTTGCTAACACTTTTGATTGCCAATGTCATATCTGTTGGTAGGCGTCAAATCCTTGATCATGTAAGCGCGGGTCGTTTGCTATGTGTCCATAATCTCATATCTTAAGTCTCGCGTTCGAGCGCCTAAATTAAGTGTGAAATGAAAAGCCTCCAGCCAACCTTCTTAGTACTGTTTGCCCTAGTCTGTCTACACACACACCTTATGATCAGAATAGGACTCATCATTTAAAATCATGAAAAATTTTCCCCTTGCATTCCGAACTGAATTCGACGCAGAGCGCTTGCCGGCACGCCGAAAGTCTACTGCCATGACGTAGAAAGTCGGGAATCCTTTGCCGGATCTGGATCAGATGCGGACAAAGCGATTACGTCGGAGAGACTAGGAGATTACTCCAGACACGAATTGCCGAGCACGCAGCGGCAGTGAGGTGCGGAGACGCTAGCTTCCAGGTGGTAGCCCATTCGATGGGACACGGTCATATTTTCAAGTTTCAAGAGGCCGAAATCCTCGCAAGAGTTGACAGCCGCGAGATGCTCGAGTCATGGTTCTCAGGCCCGCAATCAAGCAGCAAGCGCACTGACCTCCCGTTACCGTATTCTGTGCTGAGATTTCCCCTAAATAGGGGAATTAGTCATGTGAAGAGGCTGCGGGCGAGCAATTATCCCAGTGACAGTGAGCCAATTTGCCGAGCAATCGTCACACCAGCATCCAACACGGATAACGAAATCGCGGCAATTAACGACTTCGACGCCGACTGAAAAGCCATCATCGCATCGGTCAGTCAGTATATTTGGAGTAAACGACAAAAGCCCTGAAAACTCCACTTAGAGGGTACAGATATAAGGGAAAATAATTAAATTCCAAAGCTTTTGCTTGTAGTTAAGTAAGGATAATTCATAAATCTAATAATGGAACATGAATGCGAAAGGGGTATGGGATTCGCGCAATAATTGCGAAAAACCTTGTTCACCACATTCGGACTGTGAAAATTTCCATAAGATTTAAGCTTGACGCACGAAAAAAGGATCCGTTGAAATTATGCTAGTAGTATATTTATAATAATTTCAGTAATCCGTTAGATCAGGCTTCAGCAGTTCGGGTGGCCTTTCAGCAGGTGAGTATCCAGTTTTCGCTTGAACACACTCATGGTAGGGGAATTAACAGCATACTCCGACAAAGAGTTCCATCGGCGAATGGTCCTGTGTGAGAAAATGGAGGAACGTTGATTTGTATGGCTTAGTTCCTTTTTAAGCTGGTAATCATGTCGTCTGAGATTAGACTTGGGCGCCATTAAAAAAAAACGTTTCTCAGACGATATCTGGATTAAGTCCTCTCAGCAACTGGAACGTTGCTATGAGGTCACCTCTGTCCTGTTTGTAGTAGAGGAAATACAGTATCAAGGCCGTCAGGCGCTACTCGTACGTAAAATGTTTGACGCCATGAACGGCCTATGGAGCACGTCGTTGTACACCATCAAGGATATCTATGCCTTTACGGAGCCACGGCCGCACAAATGGCTCATATACTTTGCAAAGACATTTGCATTCAAGAGGATAAACGTTCTGCGTATCGCGCTCATGACTGACAGTGCCCGCGCAGCGATTTTAGAACACTGCGTGGTGACGTTTAGATCATCTTTAATGAATACAGCGAGGTCATTTTGCACATCTACGATTTCAAGTGGTTGATTGTCCAGGAGATACTGTCGTCAGGGTGCATTTGTTCTTCGTCTCGCGGATGCCACGTGCATAACTACACATTTTTACGACCCAAGCGGTGATTGCGAGAGCTGTTAATTACAGTACGCATATGGTCCCACGGTAGCCACGTGCTATAAATACTGCACTCCTTGTGCCACAATTACCCTTATCTATAACTGTCCCTGATGATGGGTTCAGGTGAGAATCTGAAACGTCAGGTCAATAACTTTCTTGTTCCAGTGGCCCCATCTTCTTGTTCTAAACTGTTGCCTGGATCTCGCCTTTTCGCTTCTATCAGGTCTCAAGGTTTTCAGCCCTGTTCCATGTCAATCGGGCTTTCTCTCCCTTCGGTGAAGATTGTTTAGTCAAAGTCTTTCAGACGTCTGCGTGACCACAATTGGAGTTAGCTGTTTAAGCATTGAGACTCTTGGTTGCTAAAGACCTCGCCATCATTGAGAAGGTTTAGAGGCGAGCAAACTAATTCGTTAGTGAACAGGGTTCACTACTCAACGAAAAATAGTTACCTAATCAGAATGTTCTTCATCTGAATTATAGACAACATGAACCGACACAAACATTTCGTATCATGCGCGTTCAGTACAACTTTCCTCTGCCTTAGGATTTCTTTGAGTTAGCAAACACAACGAAACTCCGAGATCATCCGTATCATGCGCGTCCAGTAGTGATATTTTTTGTCTGCGTGTGCCTAGCGCCTGGTTGTACAAACAGAAGTTCTTCTTCTGTTACTGAGGGGCGGAAGCTCGGAATGATTTTCCAGCAGATATTGTCATGTCCACATCCCTCGAGGCTTTTCGACGCAAGCTGGGTCTGTATACCAACACGCATAACAATGGCACCCGTCGGACACCGTCTTAACACCCCGTTATAAATATTTAATAGTGTTATAATATTACTGCCCATATTTCAATAACTTTTGTTTTCTCTAATTTGCTTATTGTCCCAAATTTATTATATGCGAATAATGACATTCATTTCTTCTCCTTCAGCTAAATGAAATCGTACAAATTTTTATACAGCCCAACTATGCGTAGACCGACCACCAAATAATGTACTTAGTAGTGTCGAGGTTCATGATACTTGGAATAATTCGTTTATCTACATAGTTTCCGGTAGTTCATCTGGAGCCGTTTTATGTGTCCGTTTTCTAACTTTTTGAGATACTTCCCTTACTTATAACAAATAGGGAGTTCAACACCAACATTTCCCTCAAATAAACTCAACTGAACTCTCATATAGCGCATATGCATGATTCAAGGCTAGTGCAGACAGCGACACCACTAATTTGATAATGTAGACCTGGAAATTTCCGAAACCTCACTGCCAATACAATTTGCTCCAGTCTCCTTTTCCTGGATATTTTATGTATGTTCGTTGATAGTGACGAAAATGGTGATCAAGTGTTAACATCCAAAGTGCTCTTCGACGTCCAGGTGATCAAAGGGTATTTCAAAAGTCCTCGTAATATTTAACCGTCGGACTTCTATGGTTTAAAAGTAGAACGACATTCTTAGAGGTGTGACGTCTTTTGCGTACATCTTAACCCCACGCACCAGCCAGACTGTGTTTCTGAAGCGCACTTATTCCGACATTTGCAAGCTCCTGGGGAGCAACGTATTGGTGGTTAATTGCCCGACCGGACTGTCCTCTGTATCTGTCTGCATCCTTCTTTGTATGGTTGTACCAGTGTCAAACGACAGTCCTTCCTGTTTCATGATATTTAAACCATTTCGATATTGCGCGGGAAGTTTAGAATGAAAGTTGCCACTTTTACAGACATGATATGTAGCTAAAATGGAAACTTTAATAGTTCAGCAGACTCCCCTTCCCTTACATTTTCCAATACCATGATGTTCGCAGAAGTCGGGCTTGATGAATTTCCTCCTGTTACAGTCTCCACTAAAATATTAAATAACAAATAAATAATCAATATTCGCTTTTTATGTATTTATAGACAAATTGGCTTGTCTGATCGCCTATGATACAGTAAGACTGTTTGACTAGAGTTGCTGAAGCATGCTGCTGGCTTGTTATGGGAAGGACGCTAATTGTCATCAATGTTGTCACCACATTATATGCCTATGACACCCTTTAATTATCGATTACTGGTTGTTCTATAATGGTGAAATTAAAAACAACATAGGTGACCAGAAGTACTCGAACACTGACTTAAGCCGGGCACATTCCGATACCACTCAATAATTCTCTTGAACTTCATTAAAATATTACTTGGAAGACTTACTTGCTTCAGGGCTTCTTGCACTCCTGCGAGCATTGTGAACGTTCGAGACAGTTCGCCTCCTCAGACGCACACGGCACGCAACTGTACGCCTCCTGGTCGCATTTGTAACGAAGACCTTTTTTAAGGAAATTGGACTGTGTTAGAGGCTCATTCGTAGTCGCACCCACAGGTGCCTTCACTTAAATGCTCACCCTTATCTCCTTCGCATTTGTCCACGCATTGTATCAATTGTTGTAAACTGTCCGCATTTCCCGGCTCATTATAATGGTAAAATGATTGGCATCGCCTGTGGGAACTGCAAACATATGCCAAGGCCAAAACTGTCTTGTCGGCTGAAATAAAAAAGAAGGTGGCTGAGATTGTTGTTGCCGATTGTGCGAGATAACATGTAGAACAGTCGACGCTCAGGGCGGAACTCTCAGTATTCGCCGTCTACTGGTAGTTTGGTCGTACCTCTCTTCCCCACTGCTCGGCTGAGCTCGAAGCGTGCTGTGGCCGATCGATCCTGCGTTCATCTCGTCTGGCCTCTTTGACGCGAAAAGTCTAATGCGGCGTATCAATCCGGCCCAGACGATCTCAATTGTGAATCCCGTATACAATGCCGCATGCAAGCCAGTCCTGTCTGACCCCCATACGTACCGCTCAAGGCTGAGATTTATTGCTACCCTGACGATGACCGACAACATTCCGTTATATACCGCCACCTACAGGTCAGTCCTGCTGTCTTTTTTCTGTCACTATTTTTATTGAGGGGTTTTTCTGTAAAATTAATCCAATCATTTTTAACTTTTTGTATGGAGTTTTTTTTCACCCCTCAATTATCATGTTTCTCAATGGACTACTAATTCAGAAACTATGAATTGCATTTTGTAAAGATTCGGCCTACGTCGTCTAAAACTCGCATGTAAATTTATTTTAACTTGCTTTGATGGGACCCCAACGGGTCTTTAATAAAAAAATTATCTTTATCTTTATTATCTAAATACTCTTAATCCCCACGTACAGTTTGTCCATCCGCTGCAGTCCTGCCAGCAGTCCTTGAAGCTGCTGAATGTGCTGTCCCACGGATAGAAGTTGGTGCATGTCTGGGCTGCGCATCCGCATAACCTTACGTGCGCTGAGTTTTCTTCTAAGGCTAAAGGTAGCCAAAGTACCAATCGTCAGCCAAGCAATTAAGCCACGACACCAACAATCAGCCAAGGGAATCTGCCTTACCGGAGTTGACAAGTTCGCATGCTAGGACGCATTTGACGTGTCTGGCGAAGTTTTCAGCGTACCCGGCACGTCCGGTTATTTGGTATTTATTGCAGGCAGCGTCCTCTTCAGAGGAACAGTAGAAGGCCGAAATGCTTTTTGATTTTGAGGCTAAAGAAAGAAAGAAAACGAAGGGACGTTTACGAATACATACAAAGAAGGTGTGTAGGAGTATTGCTCGGGTGGCGATCAAGAGGGTGAATGAAAGGTGGATTACTGGACCATACCTGGACCCACCGCGCAAGCGTTTCGGCAGTCGAGACCCTTTGACACATCTTTTTTCGCGTAGTGTATTCGAGTGCATTGTTGTTTGTCCTTCAAGCAGAGTTCATAGTATTGATGTGCCTCACTTTCGTCTGAAATTCCAAACATGATAGTTAAGATAGAAAATGTAAAGCCACGCGCCTAGCGAGACTTGTTTGGAACACAGCAAAACCCAATTGGTAACACATAATCTTCGCAACCTTTTTATGGCATAGGTTTGGCATAAAGTTTATTGCAAATTTACCATCTCCAGAATAGCAGTCGATATCCGTTGCATCTGTAATAGCTGAAAACATTGTCCTTGCTAAACTTTCACTGAGCAATCTTACCGAAATCGTCACTTGCACATATTACTCCCAGAAACATGAGAACAAAGATATGCCTGGCCATCACTGTGAATCGTCGTCGCAATTATTTGTCTATTTATATAGTGATTGCGAGAAAACCTTCGATCTTTATGTTTGGCTGTATTGGGTTTGGCGAGGTCACTCATATTCATGCAGACCTGAACTTCAAATGCGTTCAAAACAGATAAAAGTAGTCAATTAAGAACATCCCTATGGAAAACAAATTTTTTTCTGACTATCCGGCCAATAGCTGCGATTTCTCTGGGCGTATCGCCCACTCTTGTGCGAAAATTTGTGTGCTCCAGATTATGAAAGACAGAAAATAGACCAAAACAATGTTTAGAATTAAGCAGGTGTGACCCAAATTTTGCTAGCTCAGCGCGACGTTGACGACGTTAATAGGGGACAAATTTAATCGCATTGCTGTCTGGACTGCGCAATTTCAGCGCAGTTGGCGAATGCAAGCCATTTAAGTTTAGCTTTTCTCAAATGTTTCACATTGCATTATCCTCTAACTCATGGCAAAACGGACTGGATTTTAAATATGGTCTTTAAAATTTCCAACTCCCCAATCCATGTTCATATTTGGCATTCAGGGTGCGTTGGTCGCGAGCTCTCTGTCCCTCATTCCTTCTATTTCTTCTTAAGCGCACAAAATAACTATCTGATATTTCTAGTTGCTTACAAGACGTTACAACGAAGTAAATACACATGTACTAAGTGCATATTTTGCAATGCATGAAATGAACCCTAGGAATATCACCTGTATTGAGCAATGAAATGGTTTAAATTTCCTTTTACATGTGGTGGGTGAATATGCATTTAGTATAACCGAACACCAAAACTCCTGACGATGATATTGTGAGACCCTTCCGGGGTAGAATTTACAATCTGGCTTCGGGCTGCCATAGAAATATGTGCTGTTAGCCTGTCACTTGTGTCTATTGCCCACAAAAAGTCACGGCCAGTTTATATTCTAACCACCAGTTGCTTGCTAGTGAATCCAACTTTTTTGACTTTTGCTGACTTATATCTTGCAGCCCCAAAAAGTTTTATTCCTCACACGAAGGCGTGGATGTCGGCGTGTGGAACCAGGTTGTAAATCTCCCACTCACGAGTCACTCATACTTTATCTTTGCATCTGCAAGGACGGCATTGTTTTCATCAGCGTCAGCTCTTGGGAGTTCTGACCATAACAAAGTTGTTTCACATCAGATTTCCAAGATGATTGCATTTTCCCAGAAGCATACATCTCCTGTTCAAATTTTCAATTAGCCCGTCCGGCAGATTTACGGTCGTAGCTTTAATCTTACATCTGGAGAGTTGTTTTTGTAAGTTGGGATATGAATGTTTTACGGTTAAACTTCAAGAAATGTCGGATTTATTGTCACTGATAAGGTTTATTTTCCTTTACCCTTTTGCCATAAACTGCGATAGCTCGAAAGCTATCTCCGTCTGCGAAGGGGCCCTGAAGCTTCGTTCTAGGTCTACAATATTTGTAAGCGGGAAAATAAATTCTCTGTAGGAAATTGACCAGTTGATAATATTTAAATACGCCAAGATTTGCCTTTTAACTGTTGGGAAAATTTCATCGCGTTCAATGACATCGCAACAAAAAATTCAATATCCCATATTTCGAGTAGCTCTCAGAAATACCATATTAAACGCCTAAAAGATTGTCGGCGTTTGCGGTGCGTTAGTGTCCGAAGACTTTCTTTGAAATTCGACCGCTCCTGTTCCGAACACCCAGGTTTGCGTAAATGTCGTTCTTGAAACTATAATTCTTGCCTTATGGGACGCAACCACAATCATGTAACGTTTAAAGTCTCGCAATACAGGCCGAGGTGGTGTCTTAGACAAGATTTTAGACAATAACGCAAATCAGGCATTGGCATTTTTCTTTAAAAGTATATATTCCTCGTACTCTAAAATGTGAGCTTTATATGTTCGTGGAAGCAAAAACATATAGTGTATTTCTCGAAGCACGACCATTCTATAAAATTAAGGAATACTGGCAAATAAGGCGCTTCCAGTTGCTTCCAAGAGCCCGCACACCTTAACCAAGAGCAAAATTATGTGCCACATATCACATAACAACCTACTGAGTACCGCTCAATGTGGATTCCTTAGAGCACAGCATGGTGGCCTCTATCAGCTATCCCCCTTCTCGCTTTGTTTACGCTTTAAAATCCTTGTCCTTGACAAAATCTGTTTCGAATTCAGCAAAACTTCTGCTTTTGCTGAATGCTCTCTGCTCTTCTTGAAGCTCTCATTTTCTAGAATACGTGGTAATCTTAATATCCTCTTATCTGAACTCTCGTCCGCAGTGTGCTACGTGTTCCAGCGTGATTTCGAATCCCCCCTTCCACTGCCTGAAGATTTGTGGTGTACAGGATAACGTGTTGGGCTTGCTCATGTTATCCTTCTTTTATTAATGGTGTCTCATACATGTTTCAGAATTTTAGGCTTTTTATGCGGGATGACGCTTTGAAAGTGACCCGTCGATGATGTCGTCTGTAAAGACTTTGTACTAAACCACGCGAAAATGGCCTAGGGCCATCTTTTCCAGTAGCGCTGCTCGTGGCGTCATTTTCTCGTTGATGCTAATCTTCATTTTTGATTCTTGAAACGATTGTCTGCTTCAGCTGATAATGGACAGTCGCTACACCAATGTGCCAGGGAACATTAAGTACATAGGTACATCCTACCATAAGAATCTCAATTTTTCGACACTTAGCGTCTTGCCCGTATTCAAAGCATGTAGAAAATAAGGACTTGCCCTTCAGAATTTCATGACTGACGACATTAGAAACGGTTTCTTTGAGATTTGCCTTGGACTCGTCTGGAACACTGTTTGGTTTCATTTGGCCTGCTGCTTACTGGTAAGCGGCAGATAACAGAATGCTCCTGGCCTAGCTTACCGAAGTCCGAATTACCGAGAAAATTGCGAACTCACAGATCTGGATCTTTTGTGTCTTCGAAAAGTGAAAGGGGATTATTTTATTACGTCAGCTTTGGAATTTCTGTTCTTTTAATATGTTGATCACTAATGTGGTCATAGCCACGACGAGATCTTTTGTCTTCTTCCGTGGTACATCTTCAAAGTTATGTATGTATGCGCGTATATTTAAAGGACTTAGCTCCCAAAATAGACTCACGGGAAGGTGCACTTGACCAACGCGGAAATCAAGTCATAATGTCGTACGCGAAAGTTGGGTCCACACCTATAATAAACGTCACACGTGGGGCATGTGGTGGCACGCCAAGACGCGAGCTCCCGTTGCGCCAGCAACACACGCACAATCCTCGCACGAAACATGTGACACCGTGACATGTACAGTTATATGCTGACACCTCTTTTCAGATGCATGTATGCGCTTGCGCTCCCGTTGTGTACGCAGGTTGTGTGCATGGTTGTCCTATAGCTTCTCTCTTTCTTCTCCTTCTGGTCGGCTTTTATTGTTGATTAAAATCCTGGTCGCGTTTGTGTTGTGGACGAGAGGGTATAGTTGTACGTCAAGGTGCAAGTCCGCCCGTACTGGCCATCTGCACCCACTTCCGCTCTCCGTCTTTTAACTGTGTTTTGACACCGAGCTGGGACGGGGAGGAGAAAAGAGTGTGGTAGGTGTTGTGCAAGTTTACTCTCACTATAGACTAATTCAGGCATAAGCCATCATGCCTCCTCTCAGCTTGCTGTGGAGCACACGGTGGACATCGTCGTCAACGGCGGCTGTGCTTTCCACAAAAGATCACGGGGATTTGCACAGAACCAGCACGGGAAACAACTCAGACTGCGCACTTATAATAAACGCCACATGTGGCGCGTCTAGACGCAGGTTCACGCCGCGTCAACCATCTGCGCTCAATTTCGCATGCGATAGCTGACAGGCTGGGATCTAGAGACAGAGGATGGAACGAGGTCGACTCTAGGAGGCATAATGTATTTGCCGCACTGTAAGCGCTCGATCCCACCTCCAGCCCTCTTGATTCTGTTTTGACACCGTTGCCGCTTTTTAAATATCTTTCGGCCTTCGTTCAGGCGTAGGAATATGTATTTTGACACATTTAACTTTAAAGGTCATCTGTTAAAACAGACGACCTGTTTGTCGATTTTCGATAGCAACATTGCTCGTCGTCAGTATGACTGACTTAGGCCCACACTTTCGCATTATGGGCTGTCATTATAAGATTGCAAACCAAATCCCTTGTACAGTCATTCCGATAAATCTGGAAGAGTAGTGGGTCTATAACTGAAGCGTGTAGGGACACCACAGCATACCTTTACTCTTTTCGAGGTACAACTGGCAAAAACAGTCACCTGTACACTAAACAACCTGGAATTTTAGGCAAGTGTGGATAGTTTGTCTCAAATACCTATTTTACAATCATTTTTTAAAAGAAGACGAAAAGGTATGTTATAGAAGGCCTTTGTAAATCAGAAATATGTTGAAACTTTTGCGTAAAATTCATGTTAAACTGCTCGGACACTGACTTCTGAGGTCTCGTCCTGGTCCAATTTTCCATTTCAGGGTGGAAGGTTCACTCTCCGGTTCTTCTGGGAGTTCGTCTCCTTTGACAGTCTTCTTGAATAGGTAAACGTTATCACAGTTCATTGATGAGTTCCCAAAATATGAGCCCCGCTTTGAAAATTAAGATTCCTACTTCTGATAGTCATCTGTTGATGCTTGCATTTTCCTAAATGCTCTTCGGTTTCTGTTAGTCTGCAGAATTTCTGCGGTACTGATTTTTTCCTGTGAAGGGTCATTGTTCTTCCAAAGGGGCAACAGAGGTCAGCAATGCTCTCTGCAATGATCTGAAAATCCTCCTATAGTTTTTTTAGGCGGAACTGACTTACTTGGGCGTCCAAACAGGACATGGAAAGAGGAAGGCCCCGCCCAAGTAGTAAATGTGGGCCTGCGCATAATTTTAGAAAGAGCAGAATATTCCCGTGTCCCAACGCCCACCAATAACTGTTAAGCTGAACGGTTACCCTAATCTTGATCCTAACACTACCCTCAATGGTAACAACTCAGATAACACTAGCCCCTACCTTGACTCTAAACTTGAAACTGGCATACGTCACTGTTACACCTAATCATTTACTAAGCCCCAACCCTAGCCTTAAACCTAACAATAATTACGCTGGGATTTGGATCAAAGCAATCCGTGTCCCAATTGTCACGTCCAGTTTAGACGTTCATGTAGGTGCACCCTGTCGTTTTTTTATTCTGCAACCCAGTTCAGTCTGCCATGACACCTCTGGCGCTTCATTCTCAAATTTGCATATTTTCTTTTCCAAATGTATTCCTTCTCACCAATCAGGGAGATCCGTTTTTGAAACTATTCACTTATCCGTGTGCAGCCTAGCGTAATAGTTATACCCTACTGATGATAGATTCTGCGGATCGAACGCATTTTTCCTCTCTACGCTGAGAATTAGATAAAGCCAGTTTTACTGTTATACCTTCCTAGTTCGCGCTGCTGATAAGATGCGTGAAACGGCTTGGTCAAGGCGTCTTCTGAGGAGTTCCATTGCCGCGTCTCCCTGAAGGTGGACTTTGAGGAACAGTCTTTTCTTTTCACTGTCCATATGGTAAGTTATTCCTATCGCTCCCATGCAACTGTACTGATATTTGCACGTACGTACCCGCTAGGTGGTCTTCTGAACTTTAATATAATTGGAAATGCTCTCACATTGCGACGTGAATCTGCTTTGTCCATTTGGAAAGTTCTTTACATTTAAATGCTCTCCACCCTACAGAAGAGCATTGACTTATTCGCCAAGACTGTTTGAGTTGCGCGCAACTCGTTATTTATGAATGCACGACGTTTACTCATGGACAACTGTGGCACTAATATTACGCTTATGATGTATGAGCGATTTTTTGATTCCCTGCCTGAGTTAGGGCGATTTAATGCCGTTATGGCGTCTCTCGTAGGCAATACCATATCGAAATCAGTATGGTTTTCGTTCAAGATGGAAGTCGCGAAACTCATATCCATGTAGGATGCGTTAGCTTCGTCCTAAGAACTTTAGAGTAATTGTACTCTTCCAGTATGTTGGACACAGCGCCCGCATACCCGTTAAGATAAACGGACTTTTGAAGGCGCGTCTTGACCGTGATAGGCACACGACTAATCGGAGTTGTGACATCCCTGTTCAGAATTCACAACGTGTCCTACTTGTTATTCCCAGCAGATCTCTGAAGGCATCCCTTGGTTTTGTTACCTTCAACATTTACCGATCCACAATATTTCAATACTGTGGCGAATAAAATAACTTGATTTATAATAATAATTATTTATTTTTACTCAGAACCCGTGGGCGTCCATTCATATCAAGTAAGCATAACTTTTAAATTAATTTTAGAACAGACATACAGAATCTGTACAATACTTAATTCATAGTTATTAAATAAGTAGTATGTTACGAAGAATGATGAGCAAGCAATGAAAAACTCCTAATATGTAAGCACAATGAGTATGATTGAATTAATACTATAGGAGGGGAAAACTGTCGCTCCTGAATGTAAAGATGCAGGCAGAACCGACCTGTATGTGTCAGTGTATAACGGATTTCATGAAGGGGTAAGTAGGCAGGTCCGGCAGGACTGGCCTTTATATGGTATTGAGTAAAAGGTTCGAAACGGGCAACATCAAGACAGAATTCATGTGCCAGATGAGGCCATTCATGCCAAAGAAAACCAGTCTCGAGGCGACAGGAACCCAGATGCGATCGGTTGCAGTCAGCCGAGTCCAGCCGAGGAGGGAGCAAGGGAGATGCAACCAGACTACTAGTATACAGCAAATACAGAGAGTTCCGCCAAGAGCGTCGATAGAGCGCATTCTGTGAGGGGCATGATTCATGAACTGAAAAATCGAAAACTTTATTTTGCTTTATCATCGATTGGTTCGTTTGACAGTGAAACACACATTCCGGGATCATAGTCAGGCGAATTAATTCGTTTCCGCCCCCTGATTAGCTTAGAGTCTATACGGTAATGGTTTACCTAACAGAATATTTGTAATTCATCGGTTGGAGAGTCGGCTAACTCTTATGGAATATAATCCCTCCGTTTTCCAGAAAAAAATGCCACGATATCGGTCAGTAAGCTTCGCTTGTCTTATAGTAAGTTAACATGGCTGATAGGTTCTTATCGTCGACAAAACCACTAATTGACACTGGATTCGCCACAGAATTAATGATGTTTTCAATTCGGAGGAAGATGCGATCACTGGAACAAGAAGTTTATTGGCCAGACGTTTCGGACTCTTCCTCAGACACCATCGCCAGATATAAAGGCACAATGTACGCAGTATTTATAGAGCGTGGTTGCCAGGCGACCACATGCCTGCTATATTTGGCAGTACTTATGTTCATCCCCTAGGGTCACATTTGATGCAATGATTGCTTTTCGGCCGTACCTGAGTCGTTACTGGCCGTGATCTCGTCAGCGCTGACTATTCATAGTATGACGTTTACTTGGCAGTTTTGCTCGTTGTCACAATGACTTCTGGTCGCCCGCACCATCCCACTCCGCGTGGATAGCTATTTTTTCTACGTTAAATCGCAGCATAAAATATGGAGGTGGTGGGTCAGTGCGCTTGGTAATTATATACGGGCTGACGAACCATGAATGAAGCAGCTCACGGCTCAGGCGATTTTCACCCTTTGAGAGGATTCCAGCCTCATTCAACTTGAAGGAGTGGCTGGTTCCCGTCGAATGAGCCGCGATCTGGCAGGCCAATAAACTTCTCGTTCCAGCGATCGCATTCTCTTCGTGTAAATTGCTTCCTAGAACTTGCCTCTTCGTTTCTATCAGCAAAGTTTTTAATGCTTGTTGCCAGGACGCTGGTTCTAATTCTCTGTTGTGTCTCTCGGACTTTTTAATGTCCAATCGCACTGTAGTCTGTTAATTTTATTTGCATATTTCTAGAAGGAACCCTTAACTACTTTAAAATGTTCCCCAGCGTTTGTTTCGTGCTCGCGACAGTCTTCTGCTCGCCCGCAGGCCCCATCCTTGTAGCGCGGTTGCAACTGACCTACATTTCACTTCCAAAGGTTTGGGGTTCGGGACCTGGATGTATACGCTGTGCAGATGCTAAATTGGTACTTAGTGAGGTTTATCAACGTTTTCGTACACATACCCGTGCGTATCTTTTCTGATGAAGAGGTTTGAGCCCACGAAAATGAATGGGGACGGCAAACATTTCGCTGTTATTGTGCCAAATATTTCCGTTTTTGGCCGCAGTCATTTCCGGGTTTCGGTTTTGTTCCTCGTAAATAATCTCAGTTGTCCAGCAAATTCTGGTCGCCCAAGAACTTATTGATGGTGCAACGCAGCGTCAGGAGTTTATTTTCATTGCTTATTTGATCCATCCTCTATTTTTCTATTGCAGTGCTTGCCGCCTGATAGTCAGTGTAATGATTATTATTGTATTGCTTGTAAAAATATCTGTCATGCATCATCCAATTATGTCTCACATGCAACCCTGATATTACCGAGCAGCAAGGTCATGATACTCAATTAGGAATTTCTTTAATTAGGTGCTTGGGCATATAGCACCAGTTGTATATCTATTTTTCAATGTGTCATTACACGTTCCATTCGGCTTTTCATGAATTTTGAAGAATTCTTAAGAGTTACTGGAAACGGAGATGAACATTTTTGATGGGCGCGTACGTCGGTTGTTGACGCATCTTAATGGGCAAGTGTTGTAAACTACATTCCAATGTGATGGCAACTCCTAAGGTAATAGTGCTAGCTACACACAGGAACACTTGCGCGCTGCAAAAGAAAACGTTGGGGAATGTGTCCTACTCAAATGTGTACCCTACCAACCACAATAGAAGCCAACACCTGCGTTTCACCTTTCTTTTTGAATGCCTGAAAAAAGGCCCCTTCCTGACAAATCACATGCTAGGCAAGATTGGCAAGCCGCTGGACAACGTTTGTTTATCGCCCGCTCAGAACGGTTCAATCAAACGATTCGATTCGCATTGCGAGTTTATTAAAAAAACAGCAGAAAGTCGGACAAAACACAAAAGCGCAAGCATTCTCGTTGTTACTATATAAATGAAGAAGAGTTCTAGACAACGGTTCCCAGATAATGAACAGGCTAGCATTCCGTCCAACTCTGCTGCTGTTGTTCTACATCGCATGCATCCACGGTCGTAAGTAAATTTCTGAAGGAGTAGTCGTTTAGGTTTTTCGAAACAGTCCGGGCCGCAAATTTCGCCATTTGCAACAAGCAAATAGGCATTACTTTTTGCAAATATATAGAACTGTTGCATAACTATCAAAATTCTCTGTGCATTTTCCTCTGTCCCCAAAAATGACTAGTGTTTCATAATGAATATCGAATATAACTGACTTCCATGGGATGACCGGAGAAATTTTTTCAAACTGAGGAATTTCACTGTTTTGTTGTTTGTAGTTTTAGGTGAATAATTTAAACGTAACCTTGATCAGCAGTGTGCTACAACACTGCAAGCGACCACTGTATTAGTGAGAATATATAGACATACGTTTTCGGCAAAATCCATTAAGCTAAATAATTTTGACGCAAGCCTATTAACGCGTTGTACCGATTTTTTGGACGGTGAACGCACAGAGAATATAAGGTGAACAGGGTCAATCAATAACGACTTACAGTGAGTGACCCATCCCATGAAATGTTGGTTGAAATTCTGAAATGCGTCTTCCAGTAGGAAGGATAAATTGGGCACGGTTGTAATACTCATCATCTTGCAGCCTAATCCTAAAATAGTTTAGACTTGGCAGTATGTCAGCTTTTGAATACAGTGCTTTTGAATCTCCTGTAGAAACTGTGCTTGGCAAAAATTGATTACTTATCTAACATGCATTTTTCCCATTGATTTTCAATGGTCTTGCAAATACAAATATATTTTATAGAAACCACGAAGGAAATAGGTTTTCTTTCAGTCGTTTGATAGAGAATCACGTCTTCTTTATATTGTATACTAAAGGAAGGAGTATAATAAGATTTTGAACAGTTTTCTAATTGCCGAATCATTTTGAGCCTGACCATTCGTTGCATTAGCGCTTAGTGATTTCACTCAACAAGACGCATTCGTTCCACGTAAAGAAAATCACACATTCTTCTCTGTCTTTAAAAAGACATCAGACAGGGCCCGTAAAATTGTGCAATGGATGCGCACTACGTTGTACTTTTAATGACGAGCAATGATAAACAGACAGGTACGATGCTCTGTGAATGGACATTGTGCAGCCTTAAAAAATTTCCTAATTGGAACATTTTTTAAATTTAACTATACTCATGATTTGAGCATAAAATATAAAAATGACACGATTCTCTATCAAACGACTGAAAGAAAACATAGTTCTGCTCTTGGTTGCTATAAAATATATTTGAATTTACAGAACCATCGAAAATCAATGGGAAAAATGCATGCTGCATAAGAAGCGTATTCGAAAGCTGACATCCTGCCGATTCCGCAATATTATAGGATAAGGCTTCGAAATAATCGGTATTACAACCGCGCCTAATTTATCCTTCCTAATGGAAGACACATTATAGGATTTCAGTCAACATATCACGAAATCGCACACTCATTGTAAGCAAAATATTATAATAATCGTCTTACTGGCCATACATGTGTGAACTGCCAATGCTCGTCTTTAGAAACTTTTCACGAAAGAATTTCGGAATGGACTAACAAGCATGTAAAGTGAACAATTAATGTTTGTGTTAACAAGGACTAGTGGATTGGACGCAGTGAGGAAATAGAGTGAAAATGAATGCGAAATAGGACACATTTGCGTATCCGCTCATTCTTGTCCTCAACAAATCCAAAATACATAAGACCATGCATTATGTTCAAAAGTCGACACTGTAAAGCATAAAAGCACTTACTTCTTTTACGTTTTCGAAAACAGATCATCAGACGAATTACTATGACCTCTGCCTAAAGGGCAGTAAACAATGCACCCAAGTATCCTACCAGAAAACAGATCTTTCAAGGGGCGCTGACTGTCGGAGCGCTTGTGCAACTGGTCCGGGTACGATTCCGTCTTCTGCGTTTTGTCCATTCTATATTACCGTCCCTATAATCCCTGAGGTGTCTTTCCTCTGCTCCTTTAGACCAAAGCTCAAAGGACATCTCGGCCACCTACCGTGACGCCAACGAAACCACCCCTGTGAACTACAAAGTGATTGGCCGCGCTGGACACGCAGAAAGTTTCGCCCGTCACGTTCAATGCGTTCTGATCTGTGAACTTGTTGCAGATAGTAATGTCTAGCCCTTTGATATCTCGCCCTCCCCCCATCCCTTTCATCTGCCTATTGCAAACTTTGACTGCCGCGTTGGTTAGCATGCTTTTGTGTTGACTCATTGACTCGCACGGGGCCTCCCTTTTAGGTCTAGAAAATAAAGCTGATTGGATCAATATGTGCATATGCAAGGATCGAGAATGTGGCTCCTTCCCCAAATGGAACAACACCTTCGACAACTTCAAGGACTGCTGGTCTAAATGCAACGGATGGATGAACGGTAAGCAGTTTCGTGATTACTACACTGCCCTGGGTTTTCACGCGTTATTTAGATACACTCATTCCCGCATATTCGGTTTCAGTTGAAAATGCAGTTATCGAACGGAGCTACGTTTGCAAAAGAACGGGCGGCTGCCAAGAGTTCTTCCTGTACGAGAAGTCCGAAAACGTTGACTTCTTTCACAATCTCGTTAGCTGCATTAACAAATGCCAAGAAGAAAAGGGTAAATTGTGCAATTTATGGTGTTTGTTCTCGGTGGCCTGCATTGCCTGCCTAACGACGCTTTTTCCCCCGAAAAACCAGGTCTTCGCTACAAATGTGACCAGCAACGCAAGCTATGCAATCCCTGCTCGTCTTCCGAGGAGGACTGCCAACCACGTTCAGACTGTTCACAGAAATGCATGCCGCCTCCAAAGACGTCGTCACCTTGAATGGCTTGCCGTTGAAGGTATTCGAAATACTGGCTGTTTACTGTAATCCTTAGGGCTGAAGTAGGCGTATTCCAGTTAGTATAACTGAGTCCAACTTGTCGATATATGGCTGTAAACCAGAAGCTTTTTATCCTAAACAAAGGACCCATTTGTTCCTTACTGACCTGGAAATTTCCAAATAGCCATGCATATTGGGATCTGAAAGACTCCTAAGTGCTTCAGAGGACTTAAGAGATACTAAACATATCCAGAGACTTTGACAAGAAGTAGTTGCATAATCGTATTATAGAACGACTGAAATGAGAAATTTTGGTGTCATCAGGTATAAGTACTAGCAAAGTTATTAGCAGTGGCAGTAGTGTTAGTAATATTGGCAGTAGTAGTAGTAGTAGTAGTAGTAGTAGTAATAGTAGTAGTAGTAGTAGTAGTGAAAATGATATGAGCAATAATAGCAGCAATATTATTAATAGTCTATAAGTCATTTTCGATGGCTTTTTGCCATGTTCTGTTCTTTCTGTTTAATTCTTTTATGCTAATGCTATCGAAGGATGTTTTCATTTTTACGTCAAAATCATCCTACATTCATTTTCTTTTTTAGCAAATGGGATGGGACACTGATACAACAACAATTCGTTTTTAAAATAAATCTTGGTTTTGGACGTTCTTGGGCATATGGAATTAAAAAAAGAAAAAGCTTAATTTCTTCCTTGTGTATTGCAAAATTCAACAAATTTAACCTATATGTTAAAGTTTGAGGATGTGCTGGACAATTCGTAAGTTGACAAGCATTCTAGAAGAATTATATTGTGTAGGATTGCAAAGACCAAAAAATGTCATTGAAATGGCTTACTCGAAACGTAAGCCAAAGGGATATCCACAACGTGCCTGTCATCGGAAACGGAGGCATATAAAGAGAAGTCGAAGAGCAGTTTATTTTGCCGCATTTTAGTCAGGTCAGTTCTTATCTCGTCGGGCTGTTTCCACGTGTCACCTTCTAAAAATCCCAAAAACTGCCGGTAGCGTGTTATGTAGCTTGCCAGTTTTTTATATGGCATTTTAGAATTAAGAAATCGTGGGGTTTATGAAGAGTGGAGACAAAAAGGCACTGGGTTTTGTACTTATTTGAGTTCCTACATAACAGTATATAAAGTGCACTGCATTTCGGGGTATTCGCGTCATAACGTCTTAATCAAAAGAAGAAGATAATAATATTACCTAGGGTGGCGCTGGCGATACTGGCGTTGGTTAATTCTCCAAAGGTAAACTAGAACATTGGTCACGAAGCATGCACTCAGATGACTCGTGCATCAATCGATATATTGGGCATGATGTCATCTACAACGTTCTCAGGAAAAATGGAAAAGACGAGAAGCAGTCCTAACATAATGACGAACATAGCGGCCACTTACTGGCGCAAGCACCAAGCAAAGAATGCTTGCTATGCTGATTTTAACACACTCATCGTCCGAAAGTCAGATGGAGAAAGGTCGAAAAGTCGCCCAATAAAGTTCCCTACTGCTCTCGAAGAGCGTATTAGACTTTAAATTATATTTTTCAGACGCCTGACCTCCAATTCATACGTGCGTGAATATATATATCTTGTAAGTATTATTCCAGATGTCCCAGCGAAATAGGCTTCCATCCATGATGGATAAGAATGTGTACGCAACACAGGTCACAAGCGACACTCACTGGCCCAAAACTGCAACTGTCGAAATCAGAAAAAAATCGCTGATGACTGGGTTGCAAAACTTGCTTCACATCTTACTTCCTTCAAAACGGTATTGTCTTAGTGCGCAGATAGCCTCATTATTGTAGTTCATATGAGCAAATAACGAAAAGAATCGCTAGATAATATTGTATAATAAGCCAACAGACGTATACATGGGAGAGTATATATAGGAGAATGAAGTGCTTAGAAATGGTGACAGAATTCCAGAAGCCTACTTGGCAGATCGAAATTTAGTAATATAGGGCTAATTGCCAGAAAACGTGCTTTCTGCGACTCAAATATTGTATTCAGATCAGACAAGTTATGTGTAATGAAGACTATGCAACTAAAGATAAACGTTGAGGGATGGAAAGTCAGAATATTCAGTGGTTAATGGTTTATTCGTTTCTAGTTGGAGAATAGCTTCCAATTCACACAAATCAATCTTAGTAAAGGCACGATTCTGTGCACAGTGTGTCCTGAAACATGAATTGCATTTCACTATAACACACTCATCAATCAGGATTTCATCGCTTGCGAGAAATCCCAATTTCCACAAATAATGATCGTTTCTACGTACAGTGTTTGACTTAATTGATGGAAAATGATGACGGAAAATGAGACGATCAGTAGGGGCAACTGACGAGTCGCAAAGTTTGTCTTTTCGCCTAGTCTGTTCCGAAAAATCATCCTTTACATGCATAATATGTTTATAGGTATTGTTCTCTGTCAAAATGTTTGCAAATTTCAGCGAAATTATGTGATATCTTGTACTCCAGCGGTTTCTTGTACTAATGACTTAAATTAGGAACTGTACGCATAGGAAAGTAACAGCCCATGCAGTATCTCATTATTTATTTGGTTACTGCACTTAAAACCTCAAAATCGAACCTAAAAGAAAGCAAATATAGCGAAAGGGGCTCCACTATAAATAGAAAAATAAGCTCGCCTATTTACAGCAGAAAACGTAACACTTGTTTTCAGAAAGGTGAAAAGCCGACCAGAGCCCCACTTTTACATTAACTTTACACTGGAAAAAGACAGAGTACGCAGACATCCGCCAACGAAATAACTACCTACTGAGCCTTTTATAGAGGAATCTTGCTAAAGGAAGCTTTTTGTTGGTGTAAGGCATAATCACTGCGGACTTCCATTATGGACGTTCATTTTCCTCGGAGACATGTTTGAACGTTCGGGTGCATCTGCACTATACAGAATGTCCAACAATGCCCCACTTCGTTAATCATTTCGATAGGTATCTTATTTTGAGGATTTTGAGAAACACGTAGAACGGAATCTACGTCTGTGGGTAATCGGTTGAAAATACTGAAAATTGATTTCAAGAATGATCTAAAACTCACTGTGCTCCAGCACCTGAAATAACTATATAGACGGCGTCTTATTATGAAGGGGGACTTTAATTTTAGAATGAAAGCTTTGTAAAAGGAGGAACATTTGCTTTGATTAGAAAGAATCACTTAGTACTTGGGCATCGTAGAACATTGTTTTCTGTGTTGGCTGATAAATATGCGGCAAAACGGAATTCCACGGCAAAAAATTCACTTAACTCTACCGTCCTACTTAGAACTCTAAGCAGCTGTTTCTTTTTTTGATTCCACGCACAGTTATGGGCATTTCTTATGCTGCATAATAGCGGACTGTTGACGCAAACACTGTCAATCCGACGTCTAACACGAAGCAGGCTCCCACATTTGGTACGTTGGCAATGGGATATAGGCATTAGTCTTCAGTTCAGTCCAGTTCTCTTTTTACTATGGAAAAGGTAGGCGAACGCCTTTGAACTCCCTATTGGCTACACCAACTTCGCAAAAACGTCAATGCATGAAAAAGGTTGGAGATGAGATTGGCTAAATTATTACATGCAATAAGCGTGTAACTGTCTGATAAATGCTAGTATGTGTCAATGTCTGCATGGTGACCAATAGTTGTGAGTTATTGAAACACATTACTGAAATGGGTTATGCAACATGGGAACGGACACGTAAACTTCCGCCAAAATTTACTGAAATAGACGTTGTCGTCCAATTGAGTATTCGGCTAGATACTTATAAAATAGTGTTACCGTGACGCATAACTTTCGGGAGGAATTTGTTAGTTTCAGTTGGCATGGTGGTACGTATCCCTTCCTCTTACAGTGAATGACCGATCTCATGATATGTTAGGGGAAATTCTGAAATGCGTTTCCGATAAGCACGGTGGGGTTCTAAGAGTGATTCTCTTGCGACATAATCCTATATTATTTCGGACTCGGCAGAATTTCGTCATTTGAGTGCGCTTTTTTCCGATCTCCTGCAGAGACTGTACTCAGTAAAAAAATGGCTACTGATCTAACTTGTGTTTTTCGAATTGATTTTCGATGGTCTTATAAATTCAAATATATTTTATGAAAAACATGAACGAAATATACTTTTTTCACTCGCTTGTTAGGGAATCACGTCATCTTCATATTTTATAATTAGGTTTTAAAAGCGTTTTATAATTCCCGAATAATTTGGAGTCTAATTAGCCGTTGCATTAGCGCTAAGTGATTTCAGTCTACAAGGTGCATGCGTTCCGCGCAAGGGAAATCGTATATTCTTCTATGCCGTTAAAAACATACTAAATAGAGTCCACAAAATTTTGTAATGGATGCGGGCTATGTTGTGCATTTCATGAGGAGCAGTGGTAAACGGACAGGTACGATGCTGCATGAATGAACATTGCACGGTCCTGAAAATTCTCATGATAAGGAACTTTTGAAAAACTATTTATACTCCTTCTTCGCGTATAAAATAGAGAGATGACGTGAGTTCCTACCATGAGACTGAAAGAAAGCATATTTTTGTTTATGGTTTTTATAAGATATATTTTAATCTGCAAGACCATCCCAAATCGATGGGAAAATGCATGCTACTTATGTAGTCATTTTATACCGAGTACGGTTTCTAAAGGAGATTAAAAGGCAGAGCATTCAAAAGCTGACATTCTGCCGAGTCCGAAATATCATAGGATCATGCCATGGGATAATCAGTATTACAACAGCGCCCAATTAATCCTTCCTAAAAGAAAACGGATTTCAAAATTTCATCCAACATCTCAGGAGATCGGTCACTCACTGTAAATGTGAGTGAGGGACATGGTTTGCCGGCCATGACATAGCCGATGCTTACCTATCTCATGGGTAAATATCACATGCTTTATTTGCCCAGATGGAAGATCTTAGTGAAGTTCGCAAAACCCCGTTTTAAATTGTGTCTGAATATTTACCAATATCGGCACGTAGACATGG